CCTGGAGACAGGCAACGTCGATGTTAAGCCGTGTCAGTTCCTTGCTGATGATGGCGGTCTTGCGGGAGTCGTCTATCTGTTGAAGATCAGCAGAGAGACCAGGGCACATAGTTCGAACGTTCCAGCTTGCGATGCGAAGAGCTGGAGTCTTCGTTAATGTTTTCTTTTGCCTGGTGCAAAGTTGTGACTCGCTTGTCGGGAAGGTCCCCTAAGCCCCACGCACCCAGTAGAGCAGGCGAGCCATGGCGGGCAGCACCTTACTGGCTGGGGGCTGCCCAGCTTGAGGCGGGCGGTAGCTGCCCAGTGAAGCTACGAGGGCTTCTCCCACCGTCGGATGATACCCCTGGCGCTCCAACCTACGCCAATCGGTCAGGAGCTTAGAACCGGTGAACTGCCTCATCCCGTGTTGTGCCGGAATCTTGCAAAGAACCGCTGGAGTGACCTCTCCAGTTTGCGCTGAAAGCCTGGGCGGGTTAGAATGGAGACGCTGGGTTGCCCACACTTCAGTGTCCCCCTCTCGGTTCCGCTGGCTGAGTCCAAGGGAAAGGGTGAACCTTTACAATTTGGAGCCAGCTTCACTGCAGGAGCTGCCGGAAGGTAGTGCTGTGCATCTGCCTTTCGCCTTAGGGGCTCCACTCCGGATTTAACCTCGAGGTTTACTCCTGAAGCTTTTCCTGCTATCAGGTATAGCCACAAAGCAGTGGAGGTTTGAAATCAGGGTTTTCCCTCCCCTAGATGGGTTGCCTTCACCGCGGCTAAAGAGCCCCATCTACCCTGAAGTAGTAGTGATGCAGTGTGAACATCACACTGCATCACCTCGAATATACCTCGAATGATACTACCCAATTTTCAAACCTTACATCTAAAATGGAAAACTCTGTGTTTAAGATTTGAATCAAGATGAAGAGCTTTGCTATAGAAGGAAAATGTTTCTTTTGTTCACAAAATCATTTCAGAGAACACTGTCACACCATAAACAGTAGTCTGTAAATAAACATTTTTCTTGTCTGTTGAAAAATATTTGAAGGATAATAAACATAAAAGAGGGAAGCTGTAATATAATTTATAAAATAAACCTCTCAGGCATAAGCATTCTTTTCTCCAACAAAGGCATGGGTCGTCAAAGGCAACCAATTGGGTTGTCATCCATCATATACTGAGCCAACAAAAATCAGAATTGCAGACAACCAAAATTAGACAGCTCTTCAGGACAGATTTATTGGGTAATATCTCATCATCAGTATATGTCAAGAAGTAGGTATGCAGGTGAAGGGGAAAATTATAGCAGGGAACTGCAAGATGTTGGAGACTTGCTCAGCAAATGCTGATGAGCTGAACAAAACAACAGCATCATTGGTTCAAAAAAGATAAATGAAAGAGAAAAAAAGATGCAAATTTGGTGGTTTGTGGGAATCACAGTCCCAGAGGTGCTCATGATGGCCAAATATACTTTTAACAGTCCAAACAAAAACACGCTCTTTAATATACTTCCAAACAAAGTTATAAAAAACTGAATAATCGAAGCAAGGTGAACAATTGAAGCAGTTGCTAAAATAAATTACAAATAATAACTTACTTTAGATATAGAAAACAAAATAAAGGAGAACAAAAGACACTAACAAATGTTGTACTTAAGATCCAGGGAGAAACAGCTGGTTAAAGACAATAGAGAACGATTTAAAACGAATGAGAAAAATGATAAATAAATCAGAATGAATAAAATTTACAGGAAAGAACTTATATGAATGGTACAAAATAAGTAAATTAAGCAAAAAAAAGAAACAGACAAACAAACAAACTGACCATATAGCTTTCTTCACCCTTTTACTTCCAAGATCTGATTGTTAGTTCTCCTCTCTTACAAAATTCTGCAAAGCCTAAAATATAGGAAACTTAGGAAAGAAAAAATTAATCTTATGAGTGGCTAAATTTTTTTAATTAAAAAAAATATATGAAAGTAACAGACTTGAAAACAAAATAGTTTTATAAAAATGCAATGGAAAGAAAAAACTATATAAATTTAAAATAAATTATGTCAATGTGATTTTTGGCAGCAAGAAAGCACTTCATTCATTTCTTTAAAATTTCCTTCTTTCTTTTAATTAAGTCACATAAGGGGGCAAAATTTTAGAAGAAGACACGTATTAAACAGTTAAGTTACTCTCTGTAATCCTAAAGTGCAGTGGCCAGATCACTCACCTCCGTTCTCAAACTCTTACGATTTCGCTACGATCTGCCCCAGTCGAAGAAACTTTAAACCTTTTTGGTGCCCTAAGTGTCTTAAAATGGCTTATGTTGGTCAGCTAAAGCTTCTCCTGCAGCCACAACAAGGGTTGTTTTATCAATTGCCCACGTCTGTTCGATCTCTTCGAAAGCCGACCTTCTAATTGAAGGCTATTTGAAGTCATAAAAGTGTGAATCCACGCTGCCAAACGACTTCCAAAAGTCAAAAAAAATTTTTTTTTTCTTATGGGTCTTATTCCCAGTAGAGACATTGACTCAAAAACTAAAATTATAAGATCTGAAAACATATCAAAGAACTCTTCGATCGCCATTTTGTAAAAACATAGTAACCTAGCCTGTTATGGACAATACCGCTACAGGGCAGCTACTGAAGGCTCAAAGATTGACATAGATTGCAGCATTGGCGCGAAAATAATTTGACTTGAAAAACAAAATAGTAAGCTTCTAACTTGGACAAGATTTTAACAGCTTCTCAAGCAATATCTCGGAAAGAAAATAATAAAGAAGTTATCAGCGCTGCAAAATGTCTGATACACCTCCATTTGATTCATTTTAAAATGGAAGTTGGGGATTGAAAGTCCTTCTTTAGCCTATGCTGCCAAGACAGTGACAAGGAATATCATCTTAGCTGTGGACGTACCCTACCCTTTGCTGAAATTGTGGCATGATTTTATCAAGACACAGAAAAATGATAGAAATCACACCTATGGCAATGGCTTTGTAAAAGGTAATTTCTGACATCTTTTAATATTTGATTTTAGTGGGATGCGCAGACGCAGTAAGGTGAAACGCAGCTCGTGTTGCGTCCGCGACAACAGCCGCTGACTGACCTCGATTTCTAGCCATGTTTAAGCCTGTCTCAGTATTGGCCATCTGGGGCAAACTCCGACCTTTTCTTCTATTTCTGGAAATAACGCATCCTTGCTGCAAGCATCTTTGCAACGATCTCAATCATTTTCAATCTATTATCTTTGTACTTAATTCGGCTTCTCGGAGCCATTGTCTTTATACCATACACGTTGTATTCGCAAAAAACCGACATTTGAAAACAACGACTTGAACGCTAGAGGCGACTTCAGTGTTAACCCGGCTACGTTTTATCATTCCTTAGGGATTTTAGTTCTAGTAGCCCAATTAAATTTTTGTGCACAGCCTGTGAATCAAATCTATGAAGTAAAATATTGTATCCTTCCTCGTACTAGTTTATAAGAATGAGTTTGCTAGTACCTGTATGGCTTTACACAGTGATGTTTTCCAGGCTCAAAAATAATCACTTTCCTAATTAACATTTCCCTTAAATCTAATGGCTTGCTCGCCCTGACAGCCCAGCCTCATGAACTAGTCCGCAACAGGTGTGAGAAGCAAATGAGTGACAGAAATAAGCGACCCTGTTCCCTTACACACCCTTCTCAATGCCGTTCGCTTAGTTTAAATGTGGCATTTAAAACATTTTGTATATACTACACATTTTTCTATTTAGCCAGGGTACCTGCATAATTATTTGATAATGGTGTTCATAAGAAAATGGTTGGGTTGAATTATGTCATAATGTTTTGCCAGCACTAATGAAAAAATGTTAAAAAAAAATTGTGCATTCAAGTTGGTCAATTTTAACAAATACTCAAGCCTTTTAAAACCTCTTATGTTAAAATTTTGTCAGAGTGAACCAGTGATGTTCTTAGTTGATGGTCAAATGAATACTTTTTCAGATCAATAAAATGTATTGTTGTTTTTCATGGTAACCGTGATGTTGCCACAACTCCAGTTTCCAGGATAGAATTTCATAGAGGCTACCATATCAGAATCTCTTTCATGGGTCAATAACAACATCGACTCAACTTTAAAACTAAATATAAAACTTGATTGATCTTTGGATTAGTTTCTGTTATGCACAAAGATATTCTAGCTCTAGCCTGTCTTCATTGAAATCTAACTTTCGCAGCGTAAGAACCAGATGGTAGACAAATTTAGAATTTCAGTGGCTAGGGTTGCCAGGATAGAGGATAGTTGGTTTAAAGACATGTACATTGATATGCAATTACAGCATCGGTCTTTCCAGCCAGAGCAGTTGAAAGAAGAGAATTTAAACATCGACTCGAGTTGAAATGTAACTTTTCTTTCTAATTTTCTACGCTTATCAGAGGAGTTTGACAGTTTAGAAAAACCTTTGAAGTAAACAGTCATAAATGGCGACATCAGGATAAGGTATAAGAGATGCTAAGTACGATTCTGGCACATTGTTTCAGTGACTACTGATCCCGCGTGTAAACCCTTTAATGGACCGGTGATATCTAGATCTTAACTCGAAGTCGTTTAACGTCGTTTCATTCTGTCTAAACCAAAATTAACAAACACGGGCAATAAAATATCATTTCAACCGATGCAGACATCTAGGGAAGAAAACATTCTATATTCTTGACAATCCGTTCAAACAACAAGGAACGTCAACGACAGTCTTCAGCTGCTTGAAAATACCGCTGACTAGCACGCATGTTGATATGTTGATCACTTTGCAAGTTGTGAGAATATCTTCCTTCCGTTCCACATCTGGTTAACTCTTCGAGAGCCAGTGCATAGGAATTTTAGAAGTTGAAGGGCTGGAAAATAAACTGACTGGAACTCCGCTTTCAGGGTTGGCTATATAAATCTATATTATATTCGACGGGGACCACTCGTCGAAGCAGGGGTGAACTCGTTGTTGAACTTTCAATGAGGCGAAACCTCTATAAACCACAAAGAATCATGGGAGTTAAGCCTGAGAAAGAGACATTTTGTATTTGATTTTTGCTGAACTTTCACACTTTTTAAGAACAAAAAGGTAGCTCAGCATCTACAAATTTTATAATCTAAGGCCGTTACACGTTTTATACTTATCCACCACACTGAGACAAGGGGAATCTCACTCTATACAAAATTACGCTGTTAATTCAAGCTAACCACAGACGATTAATTAAACTCAAATAGTGTCTAGCATCTAATTTTTCCTTACAGTGTCAACCTAAATCAAAAATTAAGAACACGAGAATATAGTAACTGATCACTAACTTAAGAAGCTCTTAACTGTTAAACCAATTCTCTTTGTCTGTTCCTTAGGAAATGTACAGAGAATAATAAGGAGAAAATGCATTCTAATTTCAAGCTGAGGTATTAAATAAGATGCTTGAGGGTGGTAATGTGCGTTATATGTTCTAGAAAAAAGAGCTGAATAACGAAATCTTACGTCACAGCTAGCGGTCAATAACGCGGGCTCAAGCGTTCGAGGTTAAAATTCAGCGAAATTTGCGGACAAAGATAGGGCTAGCACATAAAACAAATGCATTTTGTTTTCGTTGAAGTCATTTTCCTGTCTCCAGTGTTTTTAAGAAGAAATTTAAGTTTTTAAAATATTGAGAGTGTGTACAAGGTTTTTGGAAGTTGTTCTGTAGAAGAAAAGCAGCAAGGAAACAACGCCCTGAAGATATAGCATAGAAAATCGAACGTGCACACAACTCAAAATCTGTTTTCCGCGCCAAAGCCTAGCGCATACGCAAACGTTATTCAGCTCTGTCGTTCTGGACATCTCAGTGAATACCGACCTCGATGTTCTTTAGCCAGCGGTTCTTGAGTGCAAAAATACGATTAAATGTCTATTCTCTGAAGAGAATTTTTCCCATCTTCAAGCGCAAGGGAAATGACGCGCTCACTAAGCGCGAATCCTTCATACAGACGCTCTTTGGCCATGGAGTACTCAATCTCATCGCAACAAAACGTTTCTGCAAGAAGTTTGCATTGCACCTTTTTGTTACACAAGGCATCGTACAAAACTTTATATGTGGCATTTGAGCCTTCCTTTTGTTTCCAAGCCATTAACATTTTAAAAGCCTTATCTTCCAGCTCCCTTTTGGCTGAATCAAAGTTTTCTATTGTAGTTTGGTTGAATCCCAGGCGTCTCCCTAATTTCTCCCATTTTCCTCCAAGTTCCAGAGCCAGATCTTCTAACACGTCATCTGATGGTCCATCAGCCTTAACCAAATCTGAAGATGATAATGAAAGCAGAATGAAAAATTAGAAAAGGGTGCTTCAAGACTTTGGCGAATAGCGAACAGTTTTGGCGAAAGGCGACTTCCCTTTTTGGTATCATTCAATACCGAATCGTTGGCCTTAAAGACTGTCAGGCTTGGCCGAGGAGACATTTGCAGCAGCAGGGGAACCACTTTCCCAACCCATAAAAACAAAGAAACGCTTGGAGAGTTTTCCAGACTCATTATCCATTTCTGACCTCTTCATTCGTGTATGGCCCGACAAACATCTTGAAAATGGAGGTAATTAATAACGTCTTCTAGCCAGTCTCCAGCCGCCAATGTTGGTTAGGTGATAGTTGTTTAAGATACAAGGGTGATTAATTAGTACTGGCGACCAGTTTTAATTCAGTATTTTTTATTCTTTTCACGTTATAACTAAGTGTAAAGGATATCTGATAAATAGAATGCCAGTCCTACTGCATAAACAAATTTACCATACATAAACGTGTAACAGCAATATGCAAACTTGAAAAAAAAATGCAATAAAAAGGAAAATCCTTCGAAATATTTTCAACCTCGGTACTACCTGCAGAGTGGCGTTTCCTCTTCCTCTTCCTAGGAGCTGCAACAGAACTGCATGACGATGATTCTGAATTTGGATGCTTTACAATTGAATGTTTCATCCTTTGGGCGGAAATACCTGCAAAATAATGGGATTCATGACATGGCTAGGTTGAGAACTATTGCAAGTAAGACCCAGCCTTCACAACTTAAAGTGCATTAAGTTTTAATGATTTCTCTTGTACTTAGCAAGGAGCAGCGTTGACAAATTTGGCGAAGGCAGCTTTTATAAATAAACATATTCGATCCTAGATTTTATATGAAAAGCAACAGAAGGGTACATAGGACTTTTCATTGTTAGAGTTACTCCGTTATTTTTTTCGATCTAACCAACGGAATAATTTTCTAGAGAATTACACTTCTTTGGGTCTTTCCCAAGCTGTTTTGCGCTTTACTCGATTCCTGCATCAAACTCCTGACAAGGAAGGACGCACGTACCGTGAAGGTCTGGATCGAGTTTACTGCTACGTTCCAGAGACAATAAGCCATCACTGTTGGGCGTGGGGGAGGCATGCCCCGATTTATTAACATATGTAAGGCAGGATATATTGACTTTGCGTTGAGAACACCTTGCTTTGTCACTAAATGCTACAGTTTCAAACCCATGGAGCTTGCGTATTTTAGAACAATGATGACTGGTCTGGTAAATTGCATTTATTCGAACATCGAAACTAGCAATAAAAACAACAACTGACCACTTCCTTCTTCAAAGTCAGAGATGACAGGAACAGGAACCTAGATGGAGGAGGGAAAATTTGCAATATTACGAGTGCGTATGGAGTGAATAGAAATGAGGAAATAAATAAAATGACTAAATAATGAGAAAAATGACAAATAAGTAAAAAGCAGAGGCATAGATAGTAACTTCAAAAATATAAAAGTAATACACCAAATCAAAAACTAATCACTACTATAGTCTTATGAAATGAATGATAGATATTGTATTATTGATATTAATGAAAACAATAATGATGACAATAAATTTCATTATCATGATCATCATCACCTCAATTATTTCCTACAAATGCAACATCGGGTACAAATACCTTTGGAATTAAAGAAAAGTCTCTATCGGTAGGAAAAGAATTCCATGGAATCACAACACTAACATTCGGATAGTCTGGCAGTGAACAGATAAACTCAGAGGTCTCAGACGTAAGCTTAGGAAAGACAAAAGACTTGAGGCGCCAGACTGCTGCAAATGAGGAAGACCACGTTTTCGAGCAAGTAGTGCTTCCTCAAGAGCGGAATCGAAACTAATTAATTCACAATCAGAGTTCGCTTTCTTTCTCTTTCTCGATCTTTCTCTCGCAAGAACGAAATGACTTTGGGCAAGCGTTATCTTCGCTTCCTTATTTTTGACCGTCGACCGCCCCTTTGGTACAAATTTCTTTCTCTCCCCAGCGTTCTGCTGCCATTGAAATCAAGGGTGGCGGCCATAATTTTCTTCAAGAAAATACCGAGCACTCGCTCGCCAAAATTACGTCTGCTCTGCCGGCTACAAGAGTCATGCCGAAAATGTAACAATTTGTATAAGAATATTAACAACCTCCATAAGGAATAAAAAAATACAGTCAAATTCTCAATAAAAATACCTCACTTTACTTTCATAGTGCATTGTGTTATGGATAATTGTTGTTGCTGCTAGAAATTTCCAGACTGTTGAGTCATGCTGACTTGCATACCGTAGAACTTTCCAGAAAATTTCATCAAGTCACGTATTTATTATCTAATACGACTAAAATAGTTCTTAAGTAAGCTTCTGGAATGTTCCAGAACACTTTGTGAATATATGTGAAGACTCGCTTATGTAGTGGTAGTAGTAGTTGTTGTTGTCGGAGCGACTACTGTTTTGAAAGCTTTGGAGACAGCAGTGAGATTACGTCAGTGGTGAGCTAGGATATAAACTGTGTGAGCTTAATTAAGCTGATTAACGATAAGTAATGTACTGCTTTTGGGAGTCGCTCCTTGCTAAGAACATTACTTACTGTTTAATAAAGTAGTAGAGTTTGTAAGATTGTAGTGTTTTTCTGTCGGCTAGATTAAACCGTATGTTTCAACTAGGCCGTTTTAGCGAGTTATCCATATCTAAGTTTACTTCTCCTTTTTTTATTCCTGAGAACGGTCGTAATTATTCCCATGCAAACTCTTACTTTTTCCGACATGACTCTTATTTCGTAAGATGATCATCCCTGAGATTACTACTGGTATTTAAATAAAACTTCATCAAAGGATCGGAAGGCCGGGTCCTAGTGTGGCCGCTTTATTTTCTTGAGTATTTGTTGATTCTTTTTTTTTTTTTGGCAAAATGAATACAGCAAAGCTTATCCCAGCCATGTTAAATTTCATATCAAGCGTATAGGAAACATTAGCAAGCAATAATGTTTACAGGAAGGGTAAACATATTTATATCAATGGATCACTGCCGCCAAATTAGTGTCTCTGGAAAATATATGGGTGCAGCCACATGTTTTTCACAAGGATACCGCCAGGTACACCCTAAGTTTCATCTCGGAAGACTGCGGCCTCCAAAACGTATGTTTCAGCGGAGTATTATGACTAACATCCAATATTCGGAACAGCTTAAATTTATTTGTGGAAAAACTGCCGGAGTTGCAAGGCAGTTGGGAGATGATAACTGCCAAATATATGTATGTCGAGGAAAGCCTAGACAAAAAGCTACAAGTATAACTCTTTGACTTTACCTTACATCATAATCGTCCTTATACTTCATAAAAATATTGGATATTTCTCTATAAACACACTGTTTGGTTGAGTTCTGATGATTTTGGGTCAAAACAACGAACCTCGTTTGAGCGTAGCGATTTACGACATAAGTACAATTTTACTCATCCATATAATATTTTTAAATGAATGAAAAGGCAGATTTATGCATTTAAACAGCAGTATCGTATATACCTGTACTGGAGATCTTGGAATGATGGGCTCTTGACATATCATTGGGGAATTCTCTCTTTCCCTGCCCTGCAGAAAGCGGATTCCCAGATCACTCGGGTCTTTAATGCTAACGGGCAGACTTCGCTGATGACGTCTGTCACCAAGAAACCTCGCAAAAAAAAGGGAACAAAAGTTTAGATGAATAACAACTTTTTTCTTAGATTTCCGGAAGAGCGAATTTAGCAAATCACTTAAATATGCATCTTTGCTAGCAGCAAAAACACCCGTCAAGTTATTTTGGGTTTCTTCTCGGTCGAACTTAATGAAGGAATCACATACTTAAGGAACCTATTTAACTTTACAGTACTGAAGTTTAAATTTCTCTAAGAGTCTGAGCTTTATTAAAGTAAGAAGTTAGAATGGATAATTTGAATGTGTAACAGACTTGTGATCTTAAGATCGAGGGCCATTGCCGCTTTCTCAACCCTTCTTTTAGTCACTGTTTAGTCACAGGTGAATCTCTAGGTTTTTTGATTAAGAGGAGAAGATTCCAATTATTTGCGCTTACTGTACCATTTCATTATTACTATTGGTCAATGTAGCATGCCTGAGAGGCAGAAGCACAATGTCTTTTCACGTTATTTTACAAATGAGCGGATGATGATGATGGACCGATAAAACGTAACAGGGCTGGTCCTTACTTTAAGACGATGTCCTTTGCATTTCCCGCCCCATGCACTTCAAATCCATTTGAAAGAGAAACATATGTCTCATCACCGCTCGACAGCTGCGAGGTTTCTTCTATACGCAAAGTCACAAAATGTCTTAAGGATATAGATTTATCCACTCCAGATCTTAAATGCTGCGGGAAACAAAACAACTCCAGAAAGTATGTCGAAGGTACTGTATCCTTGCATAAGCAAGCTAAAAACCCAACGCGGCGTTTCATGATTCTCTCGTATAGGAGCGAGGCATATTTCCGTGGAATGCTAGCGGACGTCTTTATCAACCAGGGCCAAAACCTGAAAGAGAATGGCAGAAAACTCTACTCGTCATGAACCAAAAAATACACGTTTTAAGACGCATCTACACTTATTAGAAAGCGTGTTGGCCTCTTGAGAAGAAACTTTTTTTAGTGAGAACTTTTAATTTTAAAGCCAGCTTTAATAACTTAGAGAAGCTCAAGGGATTCACCCAATGTTGAGAAAGGAGAAGGAGGGGGTGGAGGACGAGGGCAGAGGGGGGGATGGTTCTTTTACTCACAAGTAGGTATACCTCACCTTGGTACATATGAGGAGCAGTTGTTGCGATAAAATTGGCGTCAAGCATCTTTGTTTTTCAACTTCCTTAGAATTTTTACTAGATGCTTCCTATTTTTAAGTCACTCGCTAGTGGAATCAAAATATCTCAAAAACCAGGCGTATGATGTACTTTGAGTACATTGATTAATCGATCGATGTTACTTTTCAGTGCTCTTTTGCACTCATTATCACATTCAAACCCACAGCATAAGAACTGACGAAATTTGGAGTTTCATAACAGTTGCAAAGCGGACATCGCGTTTCTAAAACTAATGGTTTACTTCAAGAAATGTAAAAAAAAATGTAAACAGCTGACAAAATGAAAATGCGGTCTACGTCTTTATCTTACCGGCAGAAAGTTTTGACTTGAAACGTCACTATTCCATTTCTTAGGACTACAGGCATATCCATATGATCTGTGATATCAGTCCATTCTTGTGATTTCTCTGTTGACGTGAAATGTAGTATCTTCAACTGACCTGAACGCAGCTCCACTGGCTCTATTTCACCGTCCGTGAGTACCAGCGGGACGCTGATTTTTGCTGGCACTGACAGCTTCACATCGTGTGAGCACGAAATGTGAAGAATCGGACCAACAAACATTCCACCTACATCGTGGTCAATGGTTGGCGCCTCTTGCACCTCAAATTAAGAGCCAGCACAATCACATCAGAAATTTATGTTAACCCAAGGTACTCTTGTTAGCTACCGGTAGTTTCCCAAATAAAATAGGGCCATTAAATAGATTTGATTAAACATTCTTTTCTCAGCTGAAATCTATGCACTCTGAACATACTAACATGTTATTTTTCATAAAATCCGTTATCGACCGTAATTTAGATCAGAGCATTTGAGTTTGTATCAATTTAACACCCTCTTGGCAATAAGTTGTTTTTTTTTTCTCATCGCTAATAAAGTCTTATGAAATAAATGATAGATATTGTATTAATGATATTAATGATAACAATTAAGATGAAAATAAATTTTATTATCATTATCATCATCATCTTAATTATTTCTTACAAATGCAACATCGGGTATAAATACCTTAAGAGTTAAAGAAAAGTCTGTATCGGTAGGCAAAGAACTCCATGGAATTGCAACACTAACATTTGGATAGTCTGGCAGTGAACAGATAAACTCAGAGGTCTCAGACGTAAGCTTAGGAAAGACAAAAGACTTGAGGCGCCAGACTGCTGCAAACGTGGAAAACCACGTTTTTGAGCAAGCAGCTTCAGCGAAAGGGCACGTCCAATTGGGAACGGTTGAATTTACTGTAACATAATAACATTATTAGTAATGCTACAATAGATATTATTGGTTAGGGCTATTACTTCAATCTTTGTCACAGAGCGGGAAGTCTGAGATAAAGATACTGTTAATAACTTTCCTGTAGGTGTAATTCGTTTTAATTATTCCTTAGTCCCTATTAACCGAGCTGGAGGTCTGTATGGGAGAATCTCCATGCTGCCATTCTAATCCATTCCTAGTTTTGCCCGAGAACACACCACTTTGAAACTATAAATGTCGATCTGGAGTTAAGTGCACGAACCACTAAGCCGGCTCCTCATCTCCCTTAAAATGACCCTAACTAGGAATTGAGAAATTAGCAAGAAGTATATGGAATGATACTTGTGTATGGATCTCATCGGTAAAATTTATTATTTCAGTACCTGACGAATGCCAAACGTTTTTTGTCTCCAAATCCTCCCACTCGTTGTATTGGGAGTCAACCAACTGCTTGATAACCACCTCGTATCCTTTGAAGTTAGAGGCACTGTGAAACAAAGCCACATTTATGCTTCCCGAAGCATTTTCCACGAACTCCAGATCAGGTGGGCCATCATGAGACAGTTCAATCACATTGCTTACCAAGAGCTCATTACTACCAATAGGCGGAGAGAGGGCTGCGGGGCTCCATAATGAACATGTTATGGTCAAGGATTTTGCTATCGCTCCGAGGTTAAATGTGATGGATGCACCAGCCTCTGCAAGATTCCAGGTCTCTGACTCGTGTGCAATTTTACTTCTGAAATAAACACAAAATTACATTTATCAAGCCTTTGCTTGAGTGGAAACGCTTATCATGTTCCCTCTTGAATGTAAAGTGAATTTCTCTTTCAAGACGGTTTTGCAGCTCTTCAAACTCGGTCTCATCAACTTCAATGATGGACCATCTTGATGCGGAGCTAGCTGGTTTGTAGTTCCCACTGCGTGCTTACATTTTGATATTATCACCCGGGATATCGGCCACGTCCTTTGTCGAATAAGAACCAGTCGCCGTGCATGTACTGGCATATTTTGGTAACCAAAATTGTTGAGCTAGGGTCACTGTAAACTCGCAAAAGTCGGTAAGTTCTATCGTATTTTACGTGTATTGTAATTTGGCTCGGTTAAGGAGTAATTTCTGTTCGTAGAAAAACTGCCTTATTGCCCGACTGGATGTTTATTGAGTTTGATTACTGGAACATTTCTGGAATTTTCATCGGAATACCTGTAAATAAATGGTTGAGTTTTCGCTCTCGAGTCTTACGCGTATGTGGTTCTGCGAACTGCACAAAATGGTTGTCTGTATCTGGCTCCATTGGTGAAAACTCATGCAAAACACAACATTTTGTTATTTTACGCTCGAGGGTGGACACTCGAAGTCAAATCACGAAGATGCAGTCAACTTCGCTGGGCAAGGCCGAAACGACGTATTTTGTGACCTTTTTCCGGGTGAATATACGGCAGAATCGGGTTTCCTTTTGAATAGTTATTTACCCTCTGCAGTGATGCTAAACTAAAACAATACTACATTTAATGAATAAATTTTGAGCAATCTGAGATGCACTTTTTATAGGTCTATAAGCGTTTAAATAACGCGAGACGGATATTGGGGAAGAAGTTAAAAAGTTTTACTTAACCGGACTAATTGCAACGCTTCCGAATATCACGAATCGTGAGTACTTAACTCAGTGAAGCAATGCTTTTTCTAAATATGTGTAGGTGTACTTTTTCCTGATGAATTGTAGGTTTTGAAAAATTTTAGTGCAATTTGTATCTCAGTTATCTCTTCAAGTAAGAGAATGAATAACATTCTGCTTAAAATTTTATGAACAGCATTCAAAATAGCCATTTTCACTCAATCCCGAAATTCTCAATTGTGTGTGACCGTCATGGTTGATTGTTCTCAGGAAAATTTTTTTCTACTTTTCAACAAATAGAGAAGCCTTGACTGTGCTCTGTTCTGTTGTAAAGCACGCAAGAAGCGGCTAGAGCACGAAAGAAGTGTAGGAGAAACGTCTCGTGTTTCTCCCCACTTCATCACTTACTTCATCCTTCCAAAGAGCAACAGCTCGGTAAAAATGATTTCCTTGTCTGCTGCCAACGACTTCTCCCCGTTGAGGAGGTATATTTCAGACGTCGTAATTTTGTTTACTTAATACGTTAACACGTATGAAAACAGACCGTGCATCCATAAATAAAACTGAAAAGACTTAAAAGAGTTATTTCCTAGCGATTTATGGCTAATTTTGTACTATGTCGAGACCATTAAGCGACGACGACCTCATAATAGACCTTAGGCAAAGAGAGAATATCGGTATATTCTGTAACATGATTTCTTGGTAATTTCGACGAAAACTAACAGTTCCCTCGTATTAACATTATCTAATTCATTTATGATCAAAAATTCGGCGAAAAAGCATCGATCTCTCTCCATATATTTCTTTACAACAACTTGCAATATTTGCCCCGTAGCGATCTCAGAAATCTTTGCGCAAACGCAAGCGACTCATTCATTTCCACTTACTCGCGTATCTTTATCCTATCTGGATCTTGTTCCTGCTCACTTTCTAATTCTTCGCCATCTTCTTCTGGAATTGTTGGTTGTTGCACTTGCCCACTAGCCTCTGGAATCTCTTCGCTGCCACTGCTACTATCGAGATCATCATCATCATCGGAAGGAATGTCAACTTCATTGTCATCGTCATCGTCCTCACTGGACAGCTGTTCAGCTTAAAATATAACACAGTTTTTTGTTTTAAAAAGATTGCACCAATGAAAAGCAAATCTTACTTTTAAAAAACAATAACAGGAAATCTTTGTTCGCCCACACCCCGTGGAATGACGAACTTTACAAAACATCAACCATGTACATAAATAACTAAAGACACTCGCGTTCTTTCGGACATATTGGTAAAAAAACGCCTGAAAGTACGCTTATGAAAAAAACCTGGTTAATCACGTTTTTTAATAAGCGTAATTGAATGCGTTTTTAACTAATGTTATCGAGAGAACGCGTGTGTCTTTCGTTATTTAATATATGTTTGACTTATGGTCAAAGTTTTCCTTCATCAAATACCTTTTGCTCCTGAAGAAAGGAATTCTTTCATTCTTCCCATCAAGGTTTCGCTCTGTTTGGCTTCCTGAGGGAGCATTAAAACGCGAAAAAGTTCAGATAATCGCCATTAATTCTAATCTAAGTAACTTAAAGAGCTAATGAAAAGCAAAATGTTGTTGAGCCACGAAGGATAATGTAGCATTCTTGGGCAACTGAATGTAAGGACAACGCCTTTGGCAAGTCAGGGATACATAATTTCCACAAGGAGACTAGCTAGGTAGATTTCGCGAGGTTGCTATTCAACCAACTACTGAGTGGAAAACTAATGAAAGTTAACGATCGCACTATCATACATACCAAACCGGCTAAAATCCGTTCATGTTGATGTCATACACTGATAGGTTAAAGAACTTTGTCATACCTTCAACAAACTCTCATACTTCTGTTTCTTTTTCTCTTTCATCTGTAATGTAGCCATGTGTACAAGAGTGGTAAGAATGTCGATTCTGTCGTGCTCTGACATCCCTTCCTTATTTCTTTTCAACTTCTTTTCATAAAATTGAAAGGCTTCGTTACTGTACTTTTCGGCCTTACTTTTCTCGCAAAGCTGGGCACAGAGTCTGTAAAGAGTTTGCAGAATTTCCTCTCTGGCGATGTCTGGTAACTTTCTCGTGTCGGGTGAATTCCACGCGCCTTCATAAAACCATAGAGCTTCGTTTTGGTATCTCTTCTGTGTTTGCTGGCCGCCAAATTCACTAAGTCTTTCGTTTATCGAATCAATAACTCTCTTGTTGGCGAGAGAAAATTCAAAACCTTTGAAGGCTCTTTCTTCGTCCCAGTAGCGTAGGTAAAAGTCGAATGCTTCTTGTCGAAACTGATCTTTCCTCTTTTCGTAGCTCTCAACGATTCTGACCATGACCTCGCTGTGGTTTCCTTGACCTAGAGACTTCTCAATCTTCCATGCTTCCTCATAAAACTCTTCCGCTTCGTCAAAGTCAGCCAAGCTTCGACAAATCTCCGCCATTTGGAAAGCACTTCGCGCAGTCCAAGGGTGCCTTCCTAAAATGGAATTCCGGATTTTGTAACCGTTCTTTGCAGGTTGGTAGGCGTCTTTAAAGTTTCTCAACCAACAGTACGCGTTTGCAATGTTTCGATTGTACAGCGCAGTGTTCACCATGCCTGGGATTTTTAGTTCCTTAGCGAGCTCTATGGCCTCTTTGTAGAATTCGATTGCCTTTTCAAATTGTTTCTTTCCTTCATAAACCTTCCCGATCTGTCCTTTGAAGAAGGGCATGTCAAAATGATTCATTGAGCCAGAGAGCTGTTTTGTCATATCGTATGCCCTCATGTAGTACTTTATTGCCTCGTCATGTTCTCCTAGCTTGTTGTGGCAGTTTCCAATGGCGTTTAAGCACCTCGAAGTGCTTGTATGGCTTTGAAGTAAATTTTCCATTATCTTCAGCGCCTTGTGCAAAATCCTTAGTGACTTTGCCATATTCCCTGCTCTGTAATACACTTCACCTTTAGCGTACAGGTAGGAACTCTTGGTCAACCTAAAGGAATCTGTACTCTTTGTTTTTTCTTGTACTTTGTTAAGCGACTCTTTTGCTCTCCTCGCGGCTGTCAATGCTCGCTGCCATCCTTCGAAATTAAGAACCGCCAGAGTTTCTCGGCATCTTAGTTCTGCTCGAAGCAAGGAACCTAGAAAGACAACATGGGAAACAAGTTTTTCTCTCCCCATAAGTTTTATGCACATTTTTAACCGGAGAGCGTTTTCATTTCTTATTAGAATGTCAATGATGGTAAACTTGAAGAATGTTTAAGGAAAGTCTCAGCGGGGACGCATGTTCAAACCTAGACCCAAGTGAGGAAGTTACCCTTTACAAGATAAAAAAACGATTCGCATATTGCGTCAAACGAGCTCGTCGAGCTTCGTCAACAAAACTGAAAAAAAAATATACCGAATCTTAGTTCATATACCCTATACAACTTCATCGTGAAATACTCTTTGGGAGTTTAAACAGATTTGAACAAAGTAAGAAGGCTATAAGCTCCTTACCGAGGAGGTCAGATTACTTTCAGTAGCTTTGATCGTGTAGTCTGATCGTCTGGGTGAGTGAAGTCCTGAGAAGGACTGTTGTCGTCAGTGGTGACTGAAGTTTCGATAACCTGAGCTAAACTCATCACCAGAGTCAAGTAAATTGTTGTTGTCAGTCGAGTTTAGTCAGTTTTATTTGTTAGTTTTTCTATCAGATCGACAGCTAACTTACATTACCGAAGTATCCAGGAGAAATTCCCACGCAAACTAAGAATTTTTTCTAGTATGTTATAAAACTTTACCTTCCTTTCCATCTTCCTTGACTTTTTCAGCCCAGCAATTAAAAATGTTCTTCCTTACTTTTTCGTCAAGCACGGCTTCGAAGAGATTAAAGATCATGACACTTTCACGATACTCTTTTGGGATAGGAAGATGGTCTGACTTGAAAGAAATATCCAAAGCAAGTTTAAAGTTTGGCTTGTCAAGATCAAAATTATCGAAGGCATTGATGTAGTCTTTGTCCAAAAGCCTGGAAATCTCTACCATTTTGGACATGAAATATGAACAAAACCTGGCTTTTGCCTTCTCGTAAACTTTTACGAACATCCTTTGGTTGCTTCCGATGCTTCTCAGAAATGTTCGCACTAAAGGGTTTATGCAATAGCTGAGTTCTTGCACTTCAGGATCTACCGTGAGCACTTCACTATTCCTGAGACCCTCTAGTCGTAAAACAGCTTCTGACGAGTCCACTCCAAGGACTTCGGCTGCTGATTTGACAGAGAAAGAGCGACAGAACAGTGAAATCGAAATGGCAGAATCTTTCAACTGTTTACTCGGCAAGAAGAAAAACATTTTTCTTAAACAGCTTTCTCGTTCTTTATCAATGCCTTCCTTTACAGAGTCAAGTACGTCTCTCTCTCGACTCTCCTCTGCTGGTTGTATACCCGACTCTGGAGGCTCGACCGTCAATGGCTGCTCAATCGTTTCCAGAATCCTGATGTCATCAGCTATTTGTTGCCTCAAGATTGCTGCCATTCCCCTAATGATGAGGGGATTCCCTTGGCACATATGCAACAGTTTCTCCATCTGACCCTCTTGAACGCTGCCAATTCTCTGATTTTGAAATAGAAAATTTGATGAAGCTTTCTCTAAGGCCATAACTTTGTAATTGTTGACGTTGTCCAACTTAGCATGACGGAGTGTTGATCTTGATATTAACAAAATCTTCAATTTTGATTTCCCTGGATAATCCTTTGGACCTAGAAGTTCTTGCAGAAACGTCAAAAATTGTCATTAAGGGAGGTGGAAGCTTCATCATCTCCTCCTGCAAATTTATCGATGTTATCAAGGAGCAGCAATATGTCACTGTGTTGTGCTCCTCGCCTCAACTGTTGCATTAATTCAACTACTGGATTTGCTTCGAAGCTTATGATCGTTTTGTCTGGTGCTAAAGCGTTTAAAACGCGAAAATGAACGTCTTTCATCTCTGTGATTTCTGTAAAATCAGCCTTGAATTTCCTCCCTTGCCACTTTGAAACAGTTTCCATGGCCAATTTCGTCTTGCCTACTCCACTAATTCCATGCAAATTGACAACACACGAACTTCCCGTTGTCAACATTGCCATAACTTTCTCTAGATCACGTTCCCTGCCAGTCAAACCTGATTCTCCCTTTCCAGGAATGACCTCTTGTCGGCGGTTTTCCTTAAATTGTTGAATTTTTTCCTGTAGGGACTCTTTCTTGGACGCTATCGGGCATAGAAACCCCTGTAACAAAGTCAGATTGTCCTCCGACACAAGACCCTGCTGAGCGAATAATTGGAGGCATGAGTACAAATCTTGTTCTCCTTGATCCTCAAACTTGCCCTTAAAATTAGTTTTTATAGACGATACAGCATGCCTTAGTTCTTCGGGGCTGAGTTCATCGGAAACTCCTCGAAGAAGCTTTTGGAAACAAGGAGAACATTCCTCAGAAGCGGAGATTGTCTCGACGGACGCCATCTTTGTTTAGCGTCGGTGGAGGCAATGTCGCACGACACGTGGCCGGCGTAATGTCTTCAAATTTATGCAGGAGAATGATATGATTTGTGAATGACAAAAGCAATTTTATTCACGTCACCCAGGAATTTACCTTTAGTGACCGATCTCAGTTGTTATCATACAAAGCAGTTCAGTTGAGAAGCCGTTGTTTTAAACTTTTCTGAACGATTGAGTAGGAAAGTAGCTATGTTTATCACTAAGTAAAAGAGCACCTTTAATTAAAATAATTGATTTGATTTGCAGTACTTAAAGCATGAAACCACTTATAATTAAACGCCCTTTGATAAGCTATTAATACGTCTTTCGCATTCTCCGTTCCATTAACACGAATTTTAATCTTAACAAAGCTGCTCTTCGGCTGTATTTCTGAAAGCGATTTCACCAGCAGTCTCAACTTGACCACTGGTCTGCCGTTCAGCAAAGCGAATGCCGAGAGAGTCGGGGTTAGGAACCAATCTTTCGCGGCTCGTTCCACTCTGTAAGCGGGAGACCTGTCCTGAGGCTATTAGTTGTTCAGTTGAGTTTGATCTTATGTAAAGTTTCTGTGAATGATAAAGCAAAAATTCGGCAAAATGAGACGTTATACTGGGCACTAAAATGACAGAAATGGTGTTTTACTAGGAACCGTTAATTTGACGGGAAGTTTACAACGTATTTTGTGTTACGTGCCTCTGATTTTGTTTATCATTTCGAAGGCGAGCTACTTACATGCACCCCTTGCAGGATTGGGCTACGGCAAGGAATGTCAAAACAAATCGTATTTTTTTGCAGTTCGTTTCCTCGGGATTTTTGTCTTTGTTTTTGTATTTATTTACTTGTTTGTTTGTCTTAGCGCATAAAATTTTTTTAATATTTGTTGAGACCAAATTTATCTTATAGATTTTGTCAATCGCTTTACGTTTTCTTTTTCATTTACTGCCGCTTTTTAGATCAGTGGCGTATCCAGTGCAGTTCATTCTGTTCCACAGAACAAAAAACGATAGAGAAAACTAAAAACTGCACGTCCAAGAAGCGAAACAGTCGGTCGCGGATGAGAAATCAAGAGAGAAAAAGAAAAAGAGAAAGGAACCAGAACATGTATGCACAGTTACCTTGTGAATTCGAACAAATTTATTTTTTCTCGAAGGAAATGAATTGGCCCGCCTCTGCTTGGTAGTTGTTAATGAAACTCTGCGTGCAAAAATAAAATTTAAGCTTTAAATCTAGATGCTTAAAAAAAAAAAAGCATGCGTAACTCATATTAGAGAAATTTTTTTCTTTTGCTCACTTTTGCGTTACAATTGATCAATAGAGTGTGAACTATCGTTAATGAACTGGCCCGCCTCTGTTAACTAATTAGCATTATAACAATGAAACGTGAGTGCCAAAATCAAATAAAAGCTTTACATTTACATGCATAAAAAAAGCGTGCTTAACTCAGATTAAAGAAATTTTTTTCCGAGGTCGAAACTTTTTCTCTCAAAGTATTTATTTAGTTCACGTTTTCGTTACATCGGATGAATAGAGTGTGAACTGTCGTTAATAATCTGTTCCATTGCTAAATAATTTGTATAAAACGATTTTTTCTTACTCTCTCGCTTTCGCTCGGAATTCGCCTTTATCTATTTTATAGGCCACCGTTGTTTCTCTTTACGCGCCTCCTAACCTGTTTTGCCACCACAAATGTCAACACCCCTGTCATCCAGAGCACCACCCCAGCACCTTTGCCACGGACACCACTTCCGTCATCACTGTCACCACTATCACCGGTTCCACTATCACCACTAGCGTCAGCTCTGTCGCCACTAAAGTCAACATTGTCACCAGCACACAAGCTTAGTCCGTTCCGCTCCTTGCCACGAAACCTCTTCACGAAGACCCACCCGGATGGCCACTCAGAAATAGTCCCATGGCTTCAGCGTATTTCTGAACAACAAACAGCTTTGAACGAGCGGTTCGACGCGCTAATTAGAGTGCTTAGTGGTACAAACGAATCAGCCACACCCCCTGTTGAAAGCCATGAGGTCGTGGATCAACAAGAACTTCCAGCATGCACTACATCTTTGGATGAGTCAACGAACTCAACGCAGTTAGAAGTGGAAACTCGTGATGATACCCTCCTTTTATACGGTCTTGGTCGACATTGGGAAAAAAATTGCGGTTCATCTTGTACGTAATTTCTTTTTGCCGCTCGAATTGGATGGACAAAATGTTAGGGGGGTTGGAATTAAACTTCCGCTTGATCCACTTAAAATGGAAAGGATAAGAGAGATAATCTTTAGATTTTTTCCGTTAACGTTAACGCAACAAGAACAGTGATGATTGCCGTAAAGCTATAGACGGATACGTAATAGAAAGATTGCCGAACAGGCACGCGTAAAGTAACATATTGAAATACCTCTGTTTGTTTTCAAAGTTTTTATCGTTAACATTTTATTTTGTTTGATTTTATACCGTAAATTAAGCTTAGTTATGTAAATGAAATATTTGGGTTGATGTCAAATTTGAGAGTCTGTGTTGAAAGATGTTGACATTACTGACAGACGCTTGCAAAATATGATAATGAACGGTAGTATGTCGAAGCGTTTTCGGTTTTTAGACGAATTTTTCGTCTTTGCCATTGCGATTTACCATGACTTGACCTATTATTATTAAAATATGATGCGCTCTTCAATCAAGCAAAACATCACGAGCGATGCGAAATGAAACTGTCTGGTATGTAAACACTGAAGCGGGCTCCGTTTGCAATGAATAAAACAGAACACCATTCTCATTCTTAAAAAGCACATTTTCTTTCTAATCCTCACCGAAGATGATCGAGGTAGGTCGAAAGTTTCGAAGAAATCATCACCTGCGATATAAACACCACATTGTTCACATTCCGCAGCGTAAACATGTTAGGGAGCGTTGATTGCAGTGAATAAATTGAGAAGGATATTAATGAGTATATGTTTCGTTACTCGCTCAATGAAACTCGTGTTTCGATGCCTTGGGTAAGTGACATTTTCCTTCCCAGCCGATTCATCAACAACTCAAATCAAGCAAATCTACTGCTACTGCTCGTTATTCAAAACATTTTGCGAAGAGTAACATGCGTGAGTGTAACATGATTGCTTTTTTTCATTATGTAAATTTTCCATTGTCTACTCGCCGCTTTTTCAAACCTAAAAGTCCTTTTTTTTCACACAACAACGAAATATATGGGAAAATTATTGCACCGAATAACAAAGGCACATGAATCACGCATTTTTTCGACCGTGAGCGCAAAAAATTCGTATATACGCGTCTAACTACCCTGCGTCTGCGCGTATGAAATTTGTCTGCGCAGTTAACGTCTACGCGAGAGGTACGGTAGTAGGTTACAAGTGTTAGCTCAGTGAAACTTTTGGAAGCTTGGAGCCTAACTTGCCTGGGATCGAGGCTAGAAAAAGGTTCTGAATGGAAGTGCTTGCCGAAGCAAACTAGATTTGACTTGGACTGGAACATCAAACTGTAGAAGATTTGCAAACTTCGGCTGAACGGACAGCTGAACCACAGATCGAAGAAGGGCAACTAATCTCAATGATAAAGGGATGTGTTTGAGAGTCACATGTAAAGATAGATCAATCGGATGAGTTTGGAAATATGAGCAGGTAGGAGTGCAGTCCTCCCAAACGACGTCGGATGTATCATGTTATCATCGGAACAGCTCAGGTCAGTACAAAATGCAGACTGCAGACGGAGAATTTAAACTTTTTTTTCGTCTGATATGCATCTTACACCTTAGCGACTGTCACGCAATCGCTTTCCGCCATTATCTTTCACGATCATTTGCACTATTGTGGAATATTCCTTTTGTATTATTTTGAGATTTATTTTCGTAGCGAAATTGAAGTGAGATCCCGGCAGTATTAAAGAATAAATTCTTGCTGTTCCATAAGATACCGTTTTCGACGGTGGACTTGAAGGTCTCAAGCAAGACCTCGGAATCTTGAACGAACTATCCCACAACGTATTGTCATCAGTGACTTATGACTTTGGAGAATTCTTGAAAGATTTTCAATAATGTGTACAAAAATTATTTTTCGGGCCGTAAAAGAGAAGCTACATCTCATATTTTCCTGAAGTATAGTAAGAGTTTGAGGGCACAGCGTAACTGTG